CATAATGGTGTGTCTCACGTGTCTTAGAAGGGTTGGCGTCTTGGATTTGATGAAGTATGGCATTTTTTAAAAAAGATTTTATGTATTTATTTGACAGAGAGAGATCACAAGTAGTCAGAGAGACAGGGAGAGAGAGGGGGAAGCAGGCTCCCTGCTGAATAGAGAGCCCAATGCTCGGCTCGATCCCAGGACCCTGAGATCATGACCTGAGCTGAAGGCAGAGGCCCAACCCACTGAGCCACCCAGGCGCCCTGAAGTATGGCATTTTGAAGCCACAATAAACTGCATCTTGTTAACTAATAAGATGGTGGGGGATGACTGACAAGAAGGACTCTCAGATAATGCTTGAATTTCTAGCTTGAATGCTGATATGGATGGTGGGGTTCCACTCAACAAAATATGGAAGGGGGAGACATCCCTGATATTTCCCAGAATGATGAGCGATCTATATTTGCTTTATTAGCTCACCATGCTGGCCCTGTCCAGGCTCACTGGGTGTGAGTAGCAGCTGACTACACCTCCCTTTCTCCATCCTAGCTGTCTGGAAGGAGGGTTTGCTATGTCCTTACCTTCTCAAGTTACCTGTCAGTCCACAGGCATTGAGAGTATTGGTGGTGTAGATACCAAGATGATAAATACAGCTTAGTGAGCTTTTATCCTGCCAAGCATACCATTATCAGATTTAATTTTCATATAACAGCCGTCTATGAGGTATATAGTATCCTTGTTTTACTTTTAAGATTTTATTTATTTATTAGAGCATGAGAGAGAGCGAGAAAGCAAGCACAAGTGGGGGCTAAGGGTAGAGGGAGAAGGAGAAGTGGACTCCCCACAGAGCAGGGAGCCTGACATGGGGCTCGATACCAGGACCCTGGGATTATGACCTGATCCACAGGCATATGCTTAACCGACTGAGCCACCCAGGCACCAATAGTATCTCTGGTTTTGTTTTGTTTTGTTTTGTTTTAATATTTTATTTATTTATTTGACAGACAGAGATTACAAGCAGGCAGAGAGGCAGGCAGAGAGAGAGAGAGGAAGAGAAGTAGGCTCTCTGCTGAGCAAAGAGCCTGATGTGGGGCTCCATCCCAGGACCCTGGGACCATGACCTGAGCCAAAGGCAGAGACTTTAACCCACTGAGCCACCCAAGCACCCTAGTATCTCTGTTTTAAAACGCGGGAACATCTGCCCAAAGATTAAGCAACAGGCCCATGGTTATATAGATCGAACAATCTTGTTTGATTCAAGTCTGCCTATAACCAGTCCTAGGGGATCCCAACATAGTCATGTAAGGAAGTTAAAACACGAAAGTGACAGTAAGCTGTGCTAATGGGATGCTTTTGGAGGCATTCCCTTGGGTGTGTAGTGATGAGCATGGAGGGGCTGTAGATCAAGGCCCAGAGAAGTTAAGTAACTTACCCAAGGTCATGCAACTCCTAAGTGGGGGAGCCCATGTTTCTGGCACTAAAGCCTGTGCAGAACCCTCACGCACAAGATGGGGTTCAGCCCTTAAGGAGCTGGAGCTTGGGAGGAAGGAGCTACAAGTGCCTGGAGTAATTATTTCTAAAGAAGTTTCTGATTCAGTGGACCACCCTCTACTTGAAAGCTCGTTTCTTCATTTTGATTCGGGATATTAGGATCTCCTTCCTTTTTTCCCATTTTGCTGACTACACCTTTTCTGTCTCCTGACACCTAGCTTTTGGATTGCTCTGGGGCCTGTTCCTTAGCCCTCTTTTCTTCTCCCTGTTAGGTGATCTAATCTGTCCCCAGGGATCACACACCACCCCCATCCTGCTGACTCATTAGCCTGCCTCCAGCCCCGGTCTCTCCCCAGCTTCACTCAGCCTTGTCTATCAACGGCCTCACTTGACGTCATTACAACCCTAACGTGTCCAAACCCAAAGTCTTGAATTCTGCCCCAGACGTGTTTCATCCCGAGCCCCTCTCCTGCCATCAACACCTAGCTCCCTCTGTTTTTTGAGGCCAGAAGTCTAAGTTATCCTCGATTCTGCTTGTTCTTCCCACAGCAGTCAGCAGGTCTTCTCAGCCATCTTCAAAATATTATCCCAAATCTGACAGCTTCTCACCACCTCCACCCCAGCCCCTGGGGCCAGACCACCGGTAACTCTGGCCTGGACTAGCGCAGCAGCCTCCCAGCTCCGCTTCCTGCCCTCTTTCTCCCCCTGCTTCAGTCTAGCTCCACAGAGACTGGGGACATCATCCTTTACAAAGAGAATTCGGGGCATAACCCCACTGTTTAAAAATGACCCAAAAATTTCTCATTACACTTGAATAGAATCCAAGCCTCTTGCCAAGTTTCTGTGGGAGCGTTCTCCATACCTGGCCCTGTTCCCGATGACCTTGTCCTTTCAACAAATCAAGCTCATTTCTGCTTCTGAGGCTTTGCGTTCCTGCCTAGAAAGTTGCCCCCAAGATCTTTGCATAGTTTGCGGCTTCTCGTCATTTAGGTCATTGCTTGCATATCACTTGACTGATCACCTTGTCAGAAATACCAACCCCTCCCATGTCCGAGTGACTGCTCGGCCTGCTTTGTTTTCCATCGCCCTTTTCATGAGCAGACATACTGCTTGCCTTTCCTCCACACTCAAGCTTAAGTTCTGTAAGGACAGAAACTGTCTGTCTTGTGTACTGCTCTGTCACCTGAAATAGTGCCTGGGACATAAAAAATACTCTAATAATGTATGAGTGCATGGACAGCTATGTCTGTGTACTTATATCCTGCAAGGGATCTAAGTCAGTGTCATAAATAGAACTTAATAGAAATATCATGGAAGTCACAAATGATTTTAAATTTTTAGTAGCTACATTAAAAAAATACAAGCAGGTGGGGCACCTGGGTGGGTCAGTCATTAAGCATCTGTCCTTGGCTCAGGTCATGATCCCAGGGTCCTGGGATTGAGCCCCACATCAGGCTCCTTGATCAGATGGGGACTGCTTCTCCCTCTCCCACTCCCCCTGCTTGTGTTCCCTCTCTCGCTGTGTCTCTTTCTGTCAAGTAAATAAATAAAATCTTTAAAAAATATATATATATATAAACAGGTGAACTTAATAATATATTTGATGTCCACCTGATATATCCTAAATGTTTTCAACAAATACTAAAAAATTATATATAATTTTATATATACATATATATTTATTTATATGTATATGTATGAACTAAGTATTCCAACTCTGGTGTTTTTTTACACCTACAGCACATCTCAATTCAGACTAGCCACATTTCAGGTGCCTAAGAGCCATGTGTGGCCAGTGGCAACCATATTAGTACAAGTGTAAACAGTCTAACTTTACCGTTCTTGTCCTCTACTTCCTTGTAAGATCCAGAACAGAAGGAAGCTAGAAACTTCTGACAGCTGGGGACACGTGTCTTTTGTAGCTGCCCTTGCTTCCTCTCCCTCTTCAGAAGGAAGCTTTGGTGATGTCCAGGCTAACAGAGGCATGATTGAGTCCTTAGAATAATAATAATGATAATGACGGAGCTTCTGCTCTGTCCTGAGCACTTCGCTTAGTTCACACAACAATCCCATATTACAGATTAGGAAATAGGTTCAGGAAAGCAAAGTAACGTGTTCAGATTTACACATCTGGTGGTGTTAGAGCGGCCATATGAACTTGATTAATTGTTAAAGCCAGCATTAGAATGCATATGCTGTAATTTTTAATCTGCCACTAAAGGTCCATGTGGCATGGACAAATTAAGGTAAGTACAAAGGGTAGAAAGAAGCTGACCTGACTCTTGTTCTTGTTGCCTCCATCCTCATTTTCTCTTCTATTTTCTCGGACACCTTAGGTCTGACTTTAGTGTTGGATTGTGTTCAGGTCGTAGCTCCATCATTTATGAAAATCAACAAATCCTCTATTTCCTCTTCTGGAGAACAGGAATGCTAATACTAATGCCGAGAGCATTTGAGAACGGCCAGGAAGATGATGATGATGTCTGTAGAGCACTGAGCACAGTGCAGGTGGCTAGTCGCCACTCAGGGCACGCTCCTCTTTCCCCTCCAGGTTGCTAGGAGAAGCAAAGTGTCCCTTGACCACCCAACTCCATCTCTTCTCTTGCATATTGTCCTGTGGGGTCCTGGAAGCCATTGCTGCGCTAACTTGGCATTAGGGCAGGTGGGAGGATGTGGGGCAGGTATCAGAACTTGTGTCTGGGAACCTACCCAAGCTTCTTCCTGTAGCACATTATTCATCCAGCTGCCAAACCGAGACCCCTCAGAGCGGCTTTTACCTTCTCCCTCTCATTTCTCTCCCACACCCTTGGGATGCTTTCACAATCGCTCCTAGTCCAGCTACTTCCTCCCGTTCCCTTCTGTTGCGGTCCCACAGTATGTCCTTGCTCTGGGCTGTCTCAATTCTCCTGTAGTTTTACAGAGACTTCATCCACAGTAGCTGCCAGAGTCATCTTTCTGAACCATCCTGACCATGTCACTTCCCTACTTTAAACTATTTTCAGGACTAAGTATAAATAACTCGGCTTGTCATTCATCCACCCAACAAATACTGGAGTGGGAAGGGGGGCTTACCATATGCCTAAGCAGTTCTTACAGGTGCAAAGATAGAGCGGTGAACCAGACAACCAAGGCCCTGCCCTGGAGGCCCTTCACGGTCTGGACCCCAGCCAGATGCCTACCTTCCCCAAAGCCCTTCCAGCCCGCCTGCCACACGCCCTGGCTGCACTCTGGGCTTTCACCTCCCAAGCCTCCCCTTGCTGGCCACCATAGAGAGACCAGTCCTTTCCTCCCTGATCCCTCCATTCCCCAAGGCGCCCACAGGGTGGCCTAGGCTCCTCTGCAAATTGAAGCCCCTCTTTCTGCCAACTAGAGCCCCATGCCCCTCCCCTGCCTCTCGGGGATTGTGAGCTAAGAGCCAGGGCTAAGAGGCTTGGGACCTGTGCGGCTCCTCCAGGCCCTGGCTGGCCTGCTCCACCGCACAGGAAGCGGGTTAAGAGTGCTGCCCTCACCCCCCTCCAGGGATGTCTGGTCCCCAGGTAGGCATTGGAGGCAGCGCACGTCCCTCCCCTGCGACCAGGCCCCCGGAGAAGGGCTGGTGTGGGTGGGTGGGTGGGTGTGTGTGTGTGTGTGTGTGTGTGTGTGTGTGTGTGTGTGTGTGTGTGTGAACCGTCCTGGAGGCCAGCCTGGCTCCCTCTCTTCCATCTTCCGGTGCGGGGTGGCGTTAAGGCTGGCGACGTAGCCCGGTTGGGCCGGGACCCGCCGACGGAACCGCAGGCGGGGAGGGGGTTGTGGCTTACTGTGGCGAGAGGCGGCCTGCGGGGCGGGGCGTGCGCGCATCTCTAACTGGAGTGGCTGCGCCCTGTGTCCGAGCGCATGCGCACTCCAGTTCGCGCCTGGCTTTCAGGCACAGGAGCTGCACCGCCTCCGGGCCATAGCCCTCTCTCTTCTCCGCTGCCCACAGTTTTCGCGGCCTGCCATTCCTGCTGGCTTTTCTGCCCTCGCTGCCCTCGGGACTGGCTTCCTTTTCTTCCCGTTCTCCCCTCCACTCCCAGCCATATCTGACCCAGACACCTCCTGGCCAAACATGACCGCGACGATACAGGGTCACACGGGCATATCCCCAACTGCGGCCTCCCTGCCCACCGCACCTCCAGTCACCACCCCCCACCCCCCGGAATCCAGCCTCCTCATTATGCTTTGGCACCTTTCTTCGCTTTGCCAGGAGGGGGCCCCCCCTTCGTCCTTGGATGTTTCCCCTGCTGCCACAGCAGACATAGATAGGCTGGTCTTCCCTGGCGCACTGCAGCAAGGGGACGTCCCCTGTCCCACAGGAGCCTTGCCACGCTGCCTTGACTTCCCTACACGGATCTGCCTCCCTTACCAGACTCCTTGCCTCTTGAGGATGCAGCCGAGCTCTGTTCTCTCTGTCCCCAGAACACAGCCCTGGCTCGGAGCGGGCATCAACACATGTATTTAAAAATGAGCAAATGGAAGATTGTAAGCGTTAGGTAGATGCTGGGTGTGCTGAGGGTCTGGATGGTTGAGAGTTCATCTGAGAAGGCTTCTTGGAGGATAGACTGAACAGACTCTGGCAGGGAAGAGATGTGACCTGGTGCAGCCAGAGGATGTTGGGGGAGCACCAGAGGGACATCCTCTACTAACTTAACAATCATCGAACAACTTCTATTGTCAGGCCTCATGCTGGGCACAGGGGACTTCAGCCTGCGCTCCAGTTGCTTCCCCTGTAGTAGAGGAGGAAGACAGGATAGGCTGCGCCAATGCAGAGTGCCCGGGGTCACACGGTGAGCACACAGAGACGCTGCAGTGTAGAGGGGCGCCTGGCTCCGGGGAAGGGAGGGGCTCAGGCTTCCCTGAGAGCAGAGGGAGAGCCAGTGCAAGGGGCAGTCGAGAGAGGAGGCTGACAATGGAGCCAAACCTTATCATAAGGGCTTATACATCAAAGGAAAGAGATGGACTCCATATCCTGGGCGCCCGGGGAGCCACGGACAGCTTGCACAAAGTCAGGGGAGTGACATGATCTAGTCCTGCCAGCCACACTCCAGCAATGCCTCTGCTCGGACCCTCTCTTCCGAGAAGCCTTCTCTAAGCTCCCTGTCAAGCTGGACCCCTCCTCTGTGCTCCCCTAGCAGCCTGTCCACTTCCCCTTCTCTGTGCAGAGGTTGAATACCTCTGCCTTCCGTAGCTCCTTGGGACTTGAGACCAGGTCTTAATCTCCTCCGTGTCCCAAGCACCAGGCACTGAATCTTCCTCATGACCAAATGTTTGCTGAATGAATGGATTGCTCCTTTTTTCTCTGGATTTCTAGAGCCCTTACTCTGAGGTCCACATTCTTTCATACCCAGGACCTGTGCAGTATGCTGAAAATGGCATTTAATTGGAAAAGAGGAGTCCAGATTCAAATCCTGGTTCCATCATTCACTGGGACAAGTCACTTGACTATCTTGAAAACAGTTTCCTCACCTGTAAGACGAACAGTCTAGGAGTCCCCACATGCATGCATGAGTCTTGTTTCTCTGGGTAGACTGGGCATGCTGTGAACACTTTCCCCAGGACCTAGCTTGGTCTGAGCTTACAGGGAATATGATGCTCTGTTCTATTGGTTGGTAGACAGCAGAGTACAGAGTAGGAGGGAAAGAACAATTAAGGTGACGTTGTAAGTCCTGTTCTGCCACTTCTGGTGTGACTTTGAGCAAGGTTCTTCTCCTCTCTGAGTCTTCTTTGCCTTACCCTGTGAGTAGGGATAGTAACCCTCACCTGGTCGACCTCACGAAGCCAATGGAAGCCATGAATGTGAAAGTGCTTCCTGAATGAAAGGGTTAATATAGTAGATAATTGACCACTAATTTTAAAAAGTAACCAAAGTAGTGCAGTTGAGGTGTGTCTGGTAATTGGCAGAAGTGCCCCAGGTATGTGCTGACTGCCTCTGAGGGGCAGAGAGGCTGGCTTGCTGCTCTCCAGGCAGGAGTGGGCTGGGCAGGGCGCTGAGGTGTTTCGTCTTGTGGGGGTCAGCCCTGAGGCCCAGGAGAACCTGGGAGGAGGCGCTTCCTGGGGAGGGAGTTCGCAGCCAGCCCTTGGTTCCTTCTCCTCCCTCCCCTCCCTGATTTCTCAGGCAGCATTCTTCCTGTCTTACGTTTGGAGGGGCCCTGACGTGAAAGGGTCTCAGGAGTCCAGAGGGTCTTGGTAAATGGCCTGGGGGAGCAGTGAGCCCCACCAGGCTGCCCTGATAAACTCCCAGTTCCAAACTCCAAACCCAGCCCCTCCCAGCCTCTAACATCTCCGTGACTGGGTTTATGGAAAAGGACCCTACTCTGTCTTAACTCTTGCCCAGACCAGAAGGGCCCAGGGCTAGACACGGGCTGAGTGGAGGCAGAGGATCAACTTCCTCCCCTCTCAAATGACTGACGATTAAATGAGGAAGAGGTCCTGAAAACACCTTGGAACTTGTATATTTTCCTTGGGGGGGGGGCAGGATTACTGTTTGTGGGTAGCGTGCTGGCAGCAAACAGCGGGGCCTCCCTGTTCCAGAGAGCCCCTGGGCTCTTTCTCCCAAAGAGACTTCGTGTCACAAGCAGTCTGTGTGTACGGAGTGCATGTTTGGTCTTAGAGGAAGAGTGGAGCCAGCCAGGCTGTGAGAATCGTCAGGCCCAGCTGATTCCCCACCGCCCTGAGGGACTGGGAGGTGTGAGAAGCCCTGGGCCGGGCTGCTCCCACAGCGGGAGGCTGATGCTGCCCTCCAGGGCTGGCCAACCCAGCTCCTCCTTGGTCTCCTACTCCACAAAGCTCCTCCTGCCCAGAGCTGTGCCCTGAGCCGAGAAAGCACCAGACTGAGAACCCAGCAACAGGATTACCTTCTATGCACCTAGCATGTGACTTCGAGCCAATGTCTCAGTTCTCTGAACCTCAGTTTTCTCATCCATAAAATCATGACAGCACCATCTTCTGAGGTCGTCAGGATCAGGAGAGAGAACACAGTGGAAGGGGCTTGTGAACTATCCACTGTCCTGTCCACGTTGTGTGGTGTCCATGTTCTATGCTGTCCACGTTCATTTCTAGTTTCTCACTTCTTCCTCTGCGGGAGCTAGGCCTGCTTGTTCTGGTCGAGGCCTGTCAGAACAGGACCTTGGGGCACCCCAACAGCAGCTCTGTCCTGAGGGAGTGAGCGCAGCTGGCAGGACAAAGGAAGCTGACTCCATACCCGTCTCTTCTGAGCTTTCTACCCCTCAGGGACCCTCTCCCCCTGGGCTACTTCTGGGGGGTGAGAGGGTTACCTTTCCCCAGCATTCTTTTTTATTCAAAAAGAATAGAATAGAATTCACCACATGGGCTGGAGGGAGGTCTGCACTATAGGCAAGGGGTACAGAGGGTGTGGAAACTGGTCTGCGGGCTCACTTGCTTGGCTGTTGCCCTTCCCCAAGACACTCATCCTCAGCAGCTTTGTCTTTACCTCCTGGTCTCCGCCATCTGCCTCCTGTCTCTCTCACTACGGTCAGTGAAACAGTGTTGGGAGGGTGCGGTTCGGGAATGAGGTCCGGTGAACAGGAACTGCCTGGTCCCTGGGAACCTCTTTTGGGACTCTTTGACCTTGGGAACCCTTTACCCCTCTCCCCTGAGCCCCAGATCCGTGCACCAGTTTCTTCCTGACCAATGACGAGAGCTGTCTCCAGATGAATGAATTTTCCTGGAAGGATGTCACCAACGCCTTGTCCCTGGCCAACCTGATCCTGGGACTCTTCTCCATCTTCTGCAGCTTCTGCAAGTAGGTCTGGGGCCCAGCGGGCTCCTAGTCAAGAGCTAGAGCCAATGGCATGAAGGAAGGAGTGGGGAGCCTAGGGAGCCAGGCACTGAGGCACAGAATCAACCAGGGACAGGAGAAAGCGGAGTGGGTTGGGAGTCATGGGGCCAAGATCCTAGCCTCAGTTCTACTACCATCCTGATATGTGACTTTGGCTAGGTCACATCCCGAGCCTTGGTTTCCCCATCGCTAAAACAAGGAGCTTGCACTGTGATCTCTATAGTGCTTTCGGGCTATGGCAGTCTAGAATGGTTTTGCGAGAAAAATCAGAGGTTCTGTTCTGGTGGCCCTTACATAATCCTCGGGTAGGCAGGCTACCATTTGAAATTTTTGATTCTTAAATTTGAACCTATGATGTGGGGAATATTTACAATTAGCACTATTGTGGAAAATCTGAGACATGTATATGGGCCCCTACAAAGCAAAGCAAATTATATTTTATAGGGAAGTTCTATTTCTGTAAATTGAATCATATTTCAATGCCTTGGCAAATCAGTTCTTTAAAGAGAAATCTTTTATAATGCAGATATCCGCCTCCTAACTGTTTGCTTCTCTGTAACCATCAGCGCATGAATTCTCTGGATCCATTTCTCATCCATAAAATAGGATGATCTTACCTGATGATGTTTGAGTTCCCTTCCAGTTTGAAAATGTTATGATTCTCTAAGTCTGGATTTGTGGAGTCTTATAAAGTAGATCATACCTGCAAGAGAAAATTCTATCTTCTTCTAGTCTAATCTTCTGGGAGTATATATATCTATATATTTTTAATATTTTTATTTATTTATTTGACAGAGAGAGTGATCACAAGTAAGCAGAGAGGCAGGCAGAGAGAGAGGAGGAAGCAGACTCCCCACTGAGCAGAGAGCCCGATGTGGGGCTCGATCCCAGGACCCTGGGATCATGACCTGAGCCGAAGGCAGAGGCTTTAAACCACTGAGCCACCCAGGTGCCCCCTGGGAGTATATATTTTTTAAAGATTTTATTTATTTATTTATTTGCTAGAGAGAGAGAGAGCACAAGTAGGGGGAGCCATAGGCAGAGGGAGAAGTAGGCTCCCCACTGAGCAAGGACCCCGATGCGGGACTCAATCCCAGGACCCCGGGATCATGACTTGAACCAAAGACAGACATTTAAATGACTGAGCCAGGGAGTGTAGTTTTTATGGCAGGTTGGTAAACCCAGCTTCCTATAGACACATAGGTATGGATCTAAAGGAAGGTAGTCCTGAGGTTGTTTAGAGACTGCTGAAGTCTGGGGTCAGGCTCTCTGCTTCTGCTTGACAATCTGAGCACTGCAGTCAGGGTGTAGACTCAGGAATGGCAGCCTAGGTCAGCCTTGCCTGAGACTGCGGTGGCTGCTTTCAGAGCTGTCTGGGAGCATATGCTGGACTGCAGCATGGAATCCTCGAATGTAGGGTCTGCAAGAGATCTTGGAAATCATTTAGAGCATCAAAATATGTGAGCTGAAAATGGATAGAACTGCAAGGAGAACTTGACAAATCCACTATCATAGTTAGATATTTCAACACCCCTCTATGAGAAATTGACAAATCCGGTTGGCAGAAAATCAGGAAGGAGATAGTTGAACTGAACTGCACCATCAATCAACTGGATCAAATTGATGTTTATAGAATATTTTATCCAGGAACAACAGAATACACATTCTTCTCTTCACATATTCAGGCTATAAGACTGAATTTAAATTTAAAAGAATAGAAATCATACAAAGTGTGCCCTTAGACCACATAGAATTAAAGTAGAAATCAGTAACAGAAAGATAACTAGAAAATCCCCAAATATGTGGAGGTTAAAGAACACAATTTTAAATAATACATGGCTTAAAGAAGAAAAGTGTTTTGAACCAAAAGAAAATGAAAGGACAATTTACCAAACTTTGTGAGATGCAGAAAAAGCAGTAGTTAGAGGGAAATGTATAGCATCAAATGCATATACTGGAAAAGAAAACTGCTCTGTGAAAGACAATGTCAGGAGAATTGAAAGACAAGCTGCAAGCTGGGAGAAATTATTTTCAAAAGGTACATCTGATAAAGGACTATAATCTAAAATAGACAAAGCTTAAAAACTCATCAGTAAGGAAACAAACAATTAAAAAATGAACCAACGACCTTAACAGACACGTCACCAAAGAAGATCTACAGATGGCAAGTAAGCATGCAAAAAGTTGCTCCCCACCATATGTTATCAGGGAGATTCAAATTAAAATAACGATGGGATACCACTACACACTCATCAGCCAAACCAATTGTCCAGAACACTGATAACACCAAAGGCTGGCAAGGATGTGGAGCGACAATGGGAGTATGACATGGTGCAGCCACTTTGGAACACAATTTGGCAGTTTATTACAAAGCTAAACATACTCTTATCATATGATCCAGCAATCACACTGTTTGGTATTTATCCAAATGAGTTAAAAGCTATGTCCACATGAAAATCTGCAGTTGGATGTTTATGATGTTTTATGTACAATTGCCAAAACTTGCAGGCAACCAAGATCTCTTCTAGTAAGTGAACAGATGAATAAACTGTGGTATTTCCAGAAAGTGTTACTTAGTGCTAAAAAAAAAAAAAAAAAAATGAACTATCAAGCCATGGGAAGACATGGAGGAATCTTTAGCACATATTACTAAGTGAAAGAAGCTAAACTGAAAATGCCACTTACTGCATGATTACAATAATATGATATGATACTTGGAAAGGCAAAACTCTGAAGATAATAAAAAGATCAGTAGTTGACAGGGGTGAATGGGGAAAATGAATAGGTAGAGCCTAGAGGATTTTTAGGACAGTGGAAATGCTCAGTGTGATAGTATAATGATGGATACGTGTCATCATACATTAGTCCAAAACTATAGAATGTACAACACCAAGAGTGAACCCTAAGGTAATCTACGGACTTTGGGTGATTATGATGTGTCAGTGGAGGTTCATCCTTGGTATGTACCAAGAATCTAAATGTACCATCTGGTGAGTGGTATTGCTAATGTGAGAGGCTATTCATGTGTGGGGGCAGGGGGTATATAGGAAATTTCTGTAGCTTCCTTTAAATTTTGTTCTAAACCTAAAAACTTCTCTAAAAAAAAAAAAAGTCTAGAAGAACTGAAAAAAAGGGAGATGTAAAATCAACAATGTAAGGTTTCCAACTTAGCAAATTAGAGGGGAGAATGTAAATTAAATCCAAAGTAAGCAGAAGAGAAGAAACAATAAAAATGAGAGCAGCCATCAATGAAATTGAAAAAAAAAAATCCATAGAGAAAATCAATGAAACCAAAAGCTGATTCTTTGGAAAGATCAATAAAATTGACAAGCCTCTAATCAGGCTAAACAGGAAAAATAAAGATAAGAAGAGAAGACACAAGATACCAATATCAGAAATGAAAGAGGAGTCATCACTACTGATCCCACAGACATTAAAAGTATAATAAAGGAATCATGAACAACTCTATAAATTTGATAACCTAAATGAAATGGACCAATTCCCTAAGTCATAAGTTACCAAAACTTGCACTAGGAGAAATAGATCATCTAAATAGGCCTATATCTATTAAGTCATTTGGCACAAACCCCTCATTTTACAGATGGAGGAAGAGAGACCTAGAGATGTTGGGAATGATTTATCTGAGAATCCACAGTGAGATGGTTGCAAAGGCTGGGCTAGAACATAGGACCCCTGGGCCTTCAGATATGCCTGGGACTTAGAGCTGGAAGGGACCTTAATGATTATCTAGGGGGCTCCAAGCACCCCTTTCAGATGGTGGCTTGAGAGTATGGCAGAGGAGAGGGGGAACATGCAGGGCAGGGATGTGTTCCTGTGTGCAAGTGTAAGGAGTGTGTGGGTGTACTGGGGGGACATGGAGGGGCTGGCCAGTGGAGACCATGAAAGAGCTGTCCTATTTGGGCCTGCTGCCATACACTCTAGGAGATGCCACTGTGCCTCCTGGATGCTTCTGATCAGCTTCCTGTTAGACATGGCAGTCGGGGCGATAACCAGACACCTCAGCCTCTGCTCCAAGTCAGGTGAGTCCAGGCTTCAGACCCCTGATCCCTGACCCCAGGAGCCCTCACCTCAGGTCACCCCTCCCCCATCTCACATCCAGCCAGCCTCCATCATTCACCAGTCCTGTTCCCAGCCCTCCAAGGATGGCAGAAGCAGCCCTAGAGCCATCTGGGAGCCCCACAGTCTAGAGCTAACCCCCTGCTGGCTCACTTGTTAGCTTCAGCCATCCTTGCCCTGGCCTTGCCATTTCCTTCTCTGCCCCGCCCCCCCAGTTGGGACAGATCCAGGGATTGGGTGGCTGCAGTGGTGGTCAGGAGTGGAGAAATGAACAATCCCCCCAGCAGAGCGGCTCGTTCAAAATACAAGAAAATGTTTTCGTGGAAGATTGTGCTTGCAAAAAGGGTTCCATAGCTTGTCAGTTTGCATCCTGTTATAGTCCAGTGCTGGATGCTGAAGGGTGGGAAAGTAAGACCTGAGAGGGGAAGAGTTGTCTAAGGCCACACGGTCAACATGAGGCAGAGCCAGGGGGAGCCCACCACAGTGGACTAAGGTGCGAGACAAATGAGTATAAGTTCTAACGTTGGCCTTCTGGAGCAGGAGTGGAGCTGAATGACTTTGCGGTCTACACCACCTTCGGCTTGGCCTCAGCCATGCTCCTCGGCGTGGACGGACCTCTGAGTGGGTTCCTGGGCATCATCTATGTGTTAGCTGCTACCTTCCGCCTGTGTTTCTATTCAACTGGTGAGTGAACCCCAGCTTTGTAGCTGAGCGTCGGGAACCAGAAGGCTGGGGGGGTGCATAACTGACTCCTCCCCCTGCTTTGTGGAGTCCCTCTTCCTTCCTTCACCTGTGCCCCAGGCCCACTGAAGGCTTCAGGCTGCCGTGGCAGAGCCCTGGTGGGGGGCAGAGGCTTGTGGTTCTCCGACCAGCTGTAACTTTTTCTCACTGTGTACCCTTCGGGTGGTGCACAGAGATTCCCAGAATCTGGAACTAGAGGTCGTCCTCCAGTTTTCCACAACAGATGGGGAAAACAGAGCTCTACCACGGGCAGTTGGCTTGCCCAAGGTCACAACGCAAGGGAGGGTAGGTGCAGACCAGACAATTTCAGGAGACCCTTCTAAGGAGCCATGGGGGATCCAGGGCAGAGCCCACCCCTCATCTCTGTGAATAACTAAATGCTTGACAGCCTCCTGCTACCCTGCAAAGAAGAGGATTTGGGGCGTGGGGCGGGGAGGACCCAACGAGAGGGGCTGGCTTCGGTTTTGATTGCTTTAGAGCAGCGGGAAGCCACCCGTATCCCCCTCTTCTTTCTCCAGCAGGCGCTCAGCTCACCTACAAGGGTCTCCCCTGCCGCTACGCTTCCTGTGTCTTGGCTTCCACCTCCCTTCTGACCAAAGGCAACACATTCATTCTCTCTTGCATGGCCTCACTTATGATTCTATTCATGATGGACCAGAGCTACTATCCACATGATGAAATCCTGGAGTCGGAGAACTGGAAAAAAATGGTGTATCTGGGAGGTGAGTGAGAAGGACTGCTCTCACATGTCACCACTGGCTGTTTATTGGCCCTGCTGCTCCGAGCTCCTGGAGCCTGCTCTCTCCTCCTCCGACGGGTTTATCATCATCCTGAATGCATTTACCGGTTTACTATTTGTACACACTACACCTGCCCCCAGATAGAGAACTCTCTCTTGTTCAGGCTCCCTGGACCTGGACCCAGGACTCCGTGGACCCAGGATTGGGCCAACCACGGGGTAGATGCTCATGGAGCATTTGTTGAACGTTATCAAGTTCAGTCGGAACACCTGCCTTACCAGGTGCTGGGAACCAAATCTGTAAACTAGACAAACCCTTCCCACCTCTAGCTTTACAATCTGATCAGGGAGACAGACCCCAACCATGTAATGGCAGAAATAACTAGAAACTCATAGTTTTGACGTGTTGTGGAAGCACCAGGCACTCTGACAGGGTGTTGGAGAGGGACCTAATTAGATGGAAACGACCTGAAGGGGGAAAGGATACTTCAGGAGGTGACATTTAAATGGAAACTGGGTGGAGGTGGTCAAAAGGTACAAATTTCCAGTTATAAGTTAGTCCTGGGGACATAAGGGATAGCAGGATGACCACAGTTAATGACACCATATTGTGTAGTTGAAAGTAGCTAAGAGAGGAGAGCTTAAAAGTTCTCATCACAAGAAAGGAAAATGTGTAACTCTGTGTGGTAGACTTTCTGAACTGATCGTGTCACACACAGATACCAAATCCTCATGTTGTATGCCTTGGACTAATACGGTGTCATATGTCCATGACATCTCAATGGAACTGGGGGGGGGGGGGAAAGAAAAGAAAAGAAAAGAAAGCTGCAAGAAGACTGGCAAGGTGGGTGAGGGGGGTAGTTCAGAAGAGAAAAAGGTATTTTGTGAAGGCCCTAGGCTAGAAGGTGCTGGAATCATTCTTGCCGCCCTTGTGGCTGGAACATGCTGAGCGGTGCTAGGGACAGAAGCTGAGGCCACAAGGTGGGCAGGTTTTGGGAACTGATCCTAACAGCAAATGGGAAGTCTCTGAAGGGATTTCTGAGCAGCAGTTTTAAGGGACCTCTTTGACTAGCTGGCAGGAGACTGAGAACTGAAGGAGGAAAATGCACCTGCTGTTGCCTGAGAGGTGGCTGCGACAGAGCAGGTGAAGGGACTTGAGATCCACGTTGGGAACAGAGCCCTGAGGTCCCGGCCACACGGGGGCCCTGGCAGATGTCTCCCTAGAGTTCTCCCCAATTTAGGGCTTCCTTCAAGGACCTTCAAGGAATGCCAGTGTTTCTTCTTTGGAGATGTGCTTGTGGGAACAAGACAAACATCTAGGGGATGCCCAGTTTCTTCCTTTATTCCCTGGGGGTTCAGTCTGGTTCATAGGGTCCTTGGTTCCATCCTGACCCTCCCCTTCAGGTTCACATCTTTTCTCTGTAGCTGATGGCCCTGCCCACGTTCTAGGTTTTGGGCCCCCCCTGTGGCCCAGCTAGTAGAGGCGGAACAGGATGGAGAAACATCTGGGTCTGCAGTTAAACAGGCCTGAGTTCAAGTTCCAACACCAGCACATTTTTAAAAGATTATTTACTTATTTATTTGAGAGAGAGAGAGAGAGTGAGCACAGGTGTGTGTGTGGAGGGGGGGAGGGAGCAGCAGAGGAAGAGGGAGAAGCAGACTCCCCACTGAGCAGGGAGCCTGATTCCAGGCTAGATCCCAGGACCCTGAGATCATGACCTGAACTGAAGTCAGATGCTTAATTGACTGAGCCATCCAGGCGCCCCCACCAGCCCATATTAATTGCATGAACTTGGGCTAATTACCTCGTTGTTTTGAGCTCACTTTTCTTCATATATAAAATGAAGCCATTAATCCCTACCTCAGGATTCTTGAGATCAAAGGAGAAAATGTATATCCATCCTCTGGCACAGATGTGTCCTGTAAGTAGAAGCTTCTAGCCCCTTCTTCTCTCCACCTGCCCTCTATCACATAGCAACAGTGTTTCCCACAATGTTCTTTGCTCCTGTAGATACCACTGGATCCCCTCTCCTCAAAATAAGCCACACACTTGGCCTCAGCCTTCCTTGGATTGTCTTGACTGTGTGAGTAAAGGAGGAAACTGCGCCTCACAGATTTTGACACTGTTTAATACCAGAGCCCTACCAGATAGATATTTCAAAATGGCCACTTTGATATTCCTCTTACCTGGAGTGCAGACAGTCACCTTTTGATTGATTGATTGATTGATTAAATTTTTGAGAGAGAGAGAGAGAGAGAGCGTGTGGGAGAGGGGCATAGGGAGGGAGAGAGAGTCTTAACCAGGCTCCATGCCCAGTGTAGAACCCAGTGCAAGGCTTGGTCTCACAACCCTGAGATCATGACCTGAGACAAAATCAACAGTTGCACCCTTAACTGACTGAGACACCCAGATGCTCCTATTTTATTCTTTTACAGATTTTATTTTTAAGTAATCTCTGCATCCACTGTGGGGCTCAAACTCACAACCCCAAGTTCAAGACTTGCACGCTCCACCACTGAGCCAACTGGGCGCCCCACCAATCACCTTTCTAGACTGAGGTTCCATCTCCTCCACAGAGCTTCTGAGAAGTTGGCCTGTGACTGCTGAGGCCTTATGTCACATATTTTCCAGGACAACTAAAATATTGTCTCATTGCCTCAACAGATCAATGACTATTCTTAAGTATTAAATATCCCAAAATTCCGATCCATCTCTGTTATGGCTTCTCGCCCTTAGAAGTGGCCTTCTGTCTGATCAGATGTTCTGATTTCTCTTGAGGAATGCATGGTGGTGATCCCCATGGACATGCCCCGTACTCTCCCACCCTCTTTTTGAGCTCTCTGAGGCTGAGTGTCTACTTTGTACAAAGTAGACATGGGTTTGAATCAAGACCTTGTGAAGGTCACATTCCCTCAGTCTCCTCATCTGAAAAACAGATTATTGTGAAATGTAAGTGGAACAATCTTTGTCACATACCTAGCAGAATGTCTAGTGCCGAGAAGATATCCCACAAGTGTTGGTGCCCTTTTGCCTTTCAGTGGTGAATCTGAGATTCAAATGTGTTGGGGGGTCCCCCAAGACCACCCCCAGATTCACTGATTCTCTAAGGACTTATAGCATGCATATAGTTGTACTCATGGCTAAGATTTGTCACAGCAAGAGGACACAAAATAAGAGTAGCAAAGGGAAGGTCAGGGCACCTGGGTGGCTCAGTGGGTTAAGCCTCTGCCTTCAGCTCAGGTCATGATCTCAAGGTTTTGGGATCAAGTCCCACATCGGGCTCTCTGCTCAGGAGGGAGCTTGCTTCCTCTTCTCTCTCTCTGCCTGCCTCTCTGCCTACTTGAGATCTCTCTCTGTCAAATAAATAAAATCTTAAAAAAAAAAAAAAGGGAAGGTGAAAGGGGCAAAATCTGGAGGGAACTATGTACAGGCCCCCCAGTACCCTCACTGTGGAGCTAGCTACCCAGCACAAAAAACCACTCATGAACTCTTGTCTACCTAGAAGCTCTGTGGAGACTCAGTACCCAAGGTTTTCACGGGGGCTGGCCACATTGGCACTCTTGGCCTAGCAGTACCAAAATTCTAGATTTGCACTGAAGGAAATCCATCTCAGCACTGTCTAAGCACAGTGAGCCACTCTTGCCCACTAGGGAAAGTTCTATATTGGTATAGAGAACTGTTTACTAACCATGTTCCTAGACACCAGCCAAGGACTAACTGGGTAAAAGCAGAAGCAGGCCATTCTGGGGAGAGCTGTCTTTGGTCTGCTGCACTCTTCTGCCTGGGGGTAACATCGTATTGGCCATTGTCACGTGCTAAACTTGACACAATTGTATATATATTTCTAACAAGGGGACTGGGCAACTCAAATGTATTCTCAGCTAAAATGGATTTCTGATGTGAATTTGACAAAATGGAACCTGAGCCTGCGATCGATTGTAATCATCTCGTTACAAACACACAATACCTCTCAAAGGCAGGGCTCATATCTCATTGGTTTTGTTTCTTCAACCCCACGAGTACAGACCAAAGGGTGAGAGGAGGGGAGGGGGAGAGAAGAGGTTGGAAAATAGATGAAAGAGAGCTTCATTAAAATGGAGTGTTTGCCTTTTTTCTTCCAGGTATCATCATGCTGCTTTTGTCCCCATTCTCCCTAACTGCCTTTTACTGCCTGCTGTGGTCACTCTCCTACATCTTCTTTCCAGATGCTCTGTGGGGCAAAGCAGCATGTCTCAGGCTACAGTGCCGAGAAAACTGAACAGCTTTACCCACTGCCGCTGGCCTCTGTGGTCTTTGTGCCGGCACATCGGGCCAAGCCTTGACGTAGCCTCACTAAACCTTTTCCTGTCTCCACGTCTCCTGTGTGCTGGATAACGTATGGCCTTGAACCAGAGCAACCCAACATCGGGCCAGCGGCCTTCACTTTCTCCTCTTGCTCAGGGTTCTGAATCCCTTGGGGACAACAGTGGTTTATGTCCTAAAGAACAGAAAGTTTTCCAAGCTGAAGTTGGGCCTGGCTGACTTCCAGCCCTGGTACCAGATGTGGGTCCTGGTGCACTCAGGTCAGTCCTTTGGAAAGGAGGGAAAACCTTTGGAATTGGACTCCACCTTGGTCTGGTCGTTAAGGCTCCAGGGGCAGAACGGGGCTTACTAAAGTGGTTCTTAAACTTGCCGGCTCTGGTTCTGTAGAGCTTGTCACGGGACAGTGGCGTTGCCCAGTGTCAATGTGCATAGGCTTTTGTGACTTAAAATTCTGTATTTGAGCAGTCACAACTTTTGCCTTTTGCTTCAGTGAAAACACTAGACACCCTGGCAGCTTGAGGGCACCATCTGGCTTCCCTCCTTCTGTTTTTTTCCTAAATCGTAAAACATTAAACTCCTGATGTTCAAATGCCACTTTGTATTCTAAAATCCAAATTGAATAAAAATAAAGAGTATTGTATGGAACCTTGCAGTTGCCCCTCACAGAGAATTTAGGCTGGCTGAAGGCAGTGACCACCCCCCCAACCCAGCATGGCCTCTGGACCTCCCACCTCCAGGCCGTGTACCCGAAGATTGTTGGCTAGTTCAGCCCCTTCCTCAGCTATGGAGCCGGAGCACTTTTTAACCTAAGTTCTTGAAGTTTGCATTAAGTCTAAAATTAAATTTTTATAAAAATAACAATCCAGTGAATCAGGAGGCTACAGCCTGGCTTTCCAGGAATGGGTAGTGCCGTCCTGGTCCTGGTCCCCACGGCTCTCTGTCCATGTCTCTGTTACATCATTTATGTTTGTTAGGTGTCCCAATAATTGGTCCGTGATTAAAGGCGTGAGACTGATACAAACTGAAGGTCAAGCAAAGCTTTATTTCGCACCAAGCATCAAGAATCAAACCAAACGTTTGGGGCCGCGCCTCTTACAGAGAGGGCGACCTCTCTTTGCTTCACAGACTTGTTTTTAAGGGCAAAGGCCATGTGGTTGGGCCTGGCCATGCACAGGTGGCCAATGAAATTGTAACACACAGAGAAAGCTGCACAGTCATGTTAGGTCATAAGTGACATAAGTGACCAATTGAATTACAATTTACCCTAGTAGATATTTGAACCAGCCTATCATCTTGGTCAGAATTGGCGCCCAAAAGGTGCCCAAAGGGCGGGGCCCATACTCCTTGGTAGCTAGGGAGACAGTATGCGCCCCCCAACTGATCGGATGTCTCCACCTGGCTTGACACATCCTTGTATTTGGGCTTTGTTACCTGGCACTAGTTTCCGGGACTTGTTTTTAAGTAAGTCCCCTGGGGGAAGGGGGGCAGGGACAGTTTAAGTTGTAAACAACAAAGTTATTGTTTAACCAGATGGAAGCACTCTGGCTAAATAGGTCCTTAAATTTTTTTTTTTAATTTAAAGATTTTATTTATTTATTTGACAGAGAGAGAGAGAGAGAGAGAGATCACAAGTAGGCAGAGGTAGAGGAGGAAGCAGGCTCCCTGAGGAGTAGAGAGCCCGATGCGGGTCTCGATCCCAGGACCCTGGGATCATGACCTGAGCCAAAGGCAGAGGCTTAACCCACTGAGCCACCCAGGTGCCCCATCATTTATGTTTTTATGGGTGGATGACTATGTCTGCATCCCATCAGATTTCAGGCTCCTTCGGTTTATGTTTTTTAAAATGTCTGCTGCTTACCACGGTCCCTGGTACTCAAAACTGTTTGTTTTGTAGACAAATAGATTTCCTTGTGCGTTCTAGTGGGTTAGGTGCAAGATTACTATAATGTGGTAAGAATCTTACAAATATATACCCAAATACACATACAGATACATGATGTCCTTTGGTATCATCTCCTCATTTCAGAGATTCCACACTTCATCAAAATATTTAGGAAATGCGGCTGGAGAACTGTGTTCACATAAGCTCTTGGAGGCCAGCTCCTAGCGTCATGCCTAGACATAGCAGGTGCTCAAGAAATATTGTCTTCTGGGGCACCTGGGTGGCTCAGTGGGTTAAAGCCTCTGCCTTCAGCTCAGGTCATGATCTCAGGGTCCTGGGATCGAGCCCCGCATCGGGCTCTCTGCTCAGTAGGGAGCCTGCTTCCCCCTATCTCTCTGCCTGCCCCTCTGCCTACTTGTGATCTCTCTCTCTGTGTCAAATAAATAAATAAAATCTTAAAAAAAAAAGAAAAAGGAAAAGGAAATACTGTCTTCTGAACCAACCAAACCTAGTCTACTAGGCTACTGAAGATTAGCCAACAACGGCCTCTTTTGAGCCGCATTAGTTATCAGATTTGGCGTCAAAGGATTCTGGCTACTTCTAAAACTTGAAACTACATCAAAGAAGAAGATGCAATCCGGAAAGAGGATTTCCTTGTTGCTTTTGAGCCACAGCAGCAGAGTGAAAAGAAATATGTAGACCCCCTAAGGGGACTGCTTTGAAAAGGGAAATATCCATTTGGATACTTGTTTGCACTTTGTTTGTAACAATTCATACTTCATTGCCTCAAACAGAAGTTTAGGTTAGTGATGCAAGGGTAGTAAAGTGTAGGGATATGTGCTTCCTTCCAACTACATGGAAGGAAGGCTGCCCTTCTATGTGGTTCCGGGGACTGAGGATGCATTAGCTGTGCAGGGCTTTACTCCCCCAGTTAGCAATAAAACTTAAAAAACAGAACAGCTAAAGCAGGACATGTAATAAAATAAAATAAAATAAAATAAAATATAAACTATTCTAATGTAGAATAGCTCTCAGGAACAAGTGGGAAGTCTGGGACTTTAAAAATATACTTCTCAGATGAATGCATGGAGTCAGAGGGGTTCTTTCTTAATTCAAGGCAGTTCTGCTACTTCTCAGCTTGGGATGGAGTATAGATTTCCCTTCCAGCCCCCTCTTAGTGAACCTGTGCCCAATGAACAGGGACAAGTGACTGAGGATTCTGCCTTTCTTTTTTTTTTTTTTTAGCTTTGTGAACGTGAGTGAAAGGTTTAATCTCTCTAAACCCATTTCCTTAACTGTAAAATGGATTATTTACTTCCTCTCTGGGTTGCTTTGTGAATTAAATATGACGACACATAAATAACTAGAATAGGGAATGACTGTAAAAGGTATTAAATAAAAGTTAGATTGCTCCTCTCCTTCTAAACTTCTAAATTTCCTCCCTCCCCATTATGTACCTTTCCATTTAAAATAATAGTAATAATAATAGTTATCAGGGCGCTTAGGTGGCTCAGTGGGTTAAGCCTCTGCCTTCAGCTCAAGTCTTGATCCCAGGGTCCTAGGATCGAGCCCCACATCGGGCACTCTGCTCAGCGGGGAGCCTGCTTCCTCCCACCCCTCTCTGCCTGCCTCTCTGCCTACTTGTGATCTCTCTGTCAAATAAATAAGTAAAATCTTTTAAAAAATAATAGTTATCATTTATTTAGTCTTTTCTATGTGAAGGAAGTGTTTCTTGCACTCTATTCTTTCACTCAATCCCTCACACAACCCAATGATATGGTGACTACAGGCTTAAGGTTGGCAGTTCACAAAGTGTGGTCTACAACCCCCGGAGTTCCTGAGAACTTTTCAGGGTTAAAACTATTTTCTTAATAATCTTAAAATAAGGGGGCACCCGGGTGGCTCAGTCAGTTAAGCGTCCAACCTTGATTTCAGCTCTGGTCATGATCTCAGTGTCCTTGGATTGGGCCACTTCAGGCTCCCTGCTCAGTGGGGAGTCTGCTTGAGATTCTCACTCTCCTTTTCCCTCTGCTCCTCCCCCTGTTCATGCATGCACGCTTTCTCCCTCTTTCATAAAAATAAATAAATCTTTAAAAAAAAAAATCCTAAAACAGGGACTGAAAATCACTGCTGTCATTCTCCTAATGGTGCAAAGCAATGGTGGGTAAAACTCCTGGCACCGAGTGAATCCAGGCAGGGGCACTAAATGGCCTGGGTATTCAAATGTACTTTTCACTATCATATGTTCACAGTAAACAAAACAAAACAAAAAATGTTTCACTTATGACTATCCTTGACAAAGTAGTAAAAATTATTCATTTTATTAGACCTTGAGAATACATCTTTTCAACATTCTGTGCAACAGTGGAAAGCATGTATGAAGAACTTCTGCCTACTGGAGTTAAGATAGTCATCTCAAGGAAAAGTACTGTTTTGAGTTTGAGCTGAATTAGCTGTTTTTTTTTATGAAATACCAAAGAATAACTGAAAAACTTGGGCTGTTCAGACTTGGTTTTCTCGAAATATGAGCTGAGACTGTCACTTGTCAAAAAAGTTTTTGTTACCATGAATAAAATTTGAGCTTCCCAGTGAATTTGGGAAAACTTACATCTACTACCTTGAACTTGACAGCTTTGCAATACTCAAAGACTTTTCTGATGAGATCATGGGAGATATTAATGAAAAATTTATTTTTTACAATGTATAATAAAATGTGTAAACATTTGGAAGATCTATATAACTCAGTGAAGCATGATGTTGTAAGATCATGCATAGATAAATGATCCATTCAAAGGGCAAGAGGAAAGACCAGTGGATTTTAATGTAATAGAGTACAGAAAATTCATTAATGTGGTAACAGATTTCAAGTTGCAACTAACCTTTAAAATCTACTACCTGCTAGATTTTGGTATAGTGTCAAAGAAGAACATCTAAAATAATCATTAAAATACCCTCCTCTTTTTCAACCACATAACAATGTGAGACCAGATTTTCTTCATATACTTTAAAATAATATGAGAATACAGGGGCACCAAGGTGGCTCAGTGGGTTAAGCCTCTGCCTTCAACTCAGGTCATGGTCTCAGGGTCCTGGGATCGAGCCCCACATCGGGCTCCCTGCTCAGTGGGAAGATTGCTTCCCCTCTCTCTCTGCCTGCCTAATCTGCACACCTGTGATCTCTCTCTTTGTCAAATAAATTTTAAAAATAAAATAAAATACTATGAGAATACAGAATGCTTAAGTATGAGAAACTAGCTACTTTCCTTTAAGATAGATGTTAGATTTGCAAAAATGTAAAACAGTGCTACTCTCACCAATGATTCTTTATTTTGTTTCTTTTTTCCTTAAATATTTATTTTAAAGGAGGGAGCAGAGGGAGAGGGAGAAAGAGAATCTTAAGCAGGCTCTATACCCAGAGTA